TTTGTGTTTTCCACAGTAACTAAATGATAATAAATCAGTACTTTTGTGTTTTTCACAGTAAGGAAATGATAAATCAGTACATTTGCCTTCTTCACAGTAATTAAATGATAATAAATCAGTACTTTTGTGTTTTTCACAGTAAGGAAATGATAAATCAGTACATTTGCCTTCTTCACAGTAATTAAATGATATTAAATCAGTACCTTTGTGTTTTCCACAGTAATTAAAGGATAATAAATCAGTATTTTTGTGTTTTCCACAGTAATTAAAGGATAATAAATCAGTATTTTTGTGTTTTTTCAGATCTAAATGAGTGTGAGGACAGTGTGGGCCTGCAGTTCCCGTGTGTGAACGCTCGCTGTGTGAACACCGAAGGATCGTTTCGCTGCGTCTGCAGGAGAGGATACGTCACGTCCCGCAGACCCAACCACTGCGTCGCTGTCTAGAACTGGACCCAGTAGGCCAGTAGACGGACCAGACTGTGCAGCGCCACATTAAACTGGCTTTGGTGTTATCGGGCCATGTTTGGTAACCCGAAGAAAATAAACCAGACTGAAATATTTTCCTGGTCTTGGTTGCACTAAACTGGTCAAAGTGAGACTAGATTAACGTGTACAACACGTGACCCCTGACCCCCGACCCTATGTGCAGGTCTGACGTCATCCCCCTGACGATGACCAGTTTTAGCATCAACTGACGCCCCCAACCTCTCCAACATCGATCCAAACACTGGACCAAGGCTTTCACCCAACCAAAGAGTTTCTGCAGGTCTCAGGTGGATAAATTTAAGACTTTAAAGCTCTTTTAAAGATCATTGGGAATCAAATTTAAGATAAACATGAATTATTAAAATAAACAATTAGTTGAAGTAAAAAAAAAATAATGTTCAAATTCAGTCCAAATCATTAAAAACAACCTAAAGCAGACCAGTTTGAGGAGAAGAGCAGCTAGCTTTTTCTGCGGGAAAAGATTTACCGTAATCTAATCCTAATCTATTCTACCGAAGCTGCTGCATTCTGGGCATTTTAGTTTTATTACAGCACAAGAACCATCAACATATTTTACGTCGTTCATATGTCAATCATCGATGAGTTAACAGCGTTTAGTGCCACTTAGCGTTTGTCTGAATTTCAGGGGGTGTTTTAATCGGTTTCATTAACAGAAGTCGTTAATTCTCACTTCATCCAATAACCACATCCAGGATCAGATGAAAGTGGAATACCCAGAGCCATCCATCGATCCATTTTCTTCACCGGCTTTCTGTTCGGGGTCACGGGAAAAAGGAGCCCGATGAGCTCCAGAGGTCATTGTGCGGGAGGCAGGGTGGAGGAACCGGGTGGGTTAGCAAAAAAATTAGAAACGCGTTTGGCTCAAATTGTACGCTGAAAACAATTATTGAGAATTACGTTGGATGGCTGTGAAAGAATTTCACATCAACTATATTAGGCTGACGTTAAAATTAATTAAATTAAACAAAACCAGGTTCTGATTTAAAGTAGATTCTGTCCAAAGATATTTTTAAAATCTGAGCAACACAAAACTATTCACTGCTAATCCATTGTAACTCTCCCGCTGTAAATAACAATACTCACAATAACATTAAAAAAATGACAATTATTATTATTAATGTTCTTTCTGATGTGCTTTTAGAAGTTAATTTTTAAAGCATTAGTTATACTGAATACCTCACTGATAAATTACACGTTAAAGACTAACTAGTAATGCGTCTCCATTAGCTAGTAGCTACAGCTAACGAACGTTCTGAGACGAGTTAAAGTTTCTGGGGAATCCGATAAATTAACGAAGCTATTACGACAGAGCCATCGTGACTGAAATACTCAGGTGACATGAAAGAGATTAATTATTTAATTTGTTTAAATATCTGTCATTTCTGTGTTTTTAGTTAGCATGCTAACGGTTAGCTTGGTTTGATAATTGACCTGGGAAAAATTATAGCAAGTAAAATTGGTTTCCATTACATTTTGGAAAATTAAGACAAACAATTTTTTTTAATTGAAAAAGTAAATAAATTTGTTTATTTTTTATCAACTAGCTTGCTAGCTTTTAGCGCAAAACATGTCTGTGCATTTTTTAAGAATTAAAACATAAAATCACAGTTCACCTATTATATTTTTTATTGAATCCAAACTTTTTGTCTACCAAATATTCTGATTTTATATATGTATAATATCTGTAAACAAGTACTCAGTTTATTAAAAAAAGCTCTCACTTTTTATTTTTTTGTAATAAATTTAAATCTCCAGTCTTCTAGTCCTGAAGTTTTAAACTGTACAAATAAAAGATAAATTAAATTCTAAGCCAGCTTTATTTAATTTGTTCAGGTTTTCAGATAAATTAAAAAAAAGGCTTGAAGATGGTCTAAGTGTTTAAACTCAGAAATCCAAAGATTTATAATCAGTTTTCGTTATTATAGCTCATAAAAATGAGGGAATGTGAATATTAAAGCCCTGTTTTATACAAGTTTTCGTAAAAGTTTATAACTTTCAGAGGTTCGTTTCATATTTTACAGAACCAAACGTGCATTTGAACTCCCACATTTTTTTCTTCTGTTTAACAAATATTTGATTTAATTCTGCAGTAAAATGTAGAAATGATATTGTAGTTAAATTTGGATTTTCAGTTAAGTTTTATGTTTTTGTTCCGAACATTAGTTTGGTCAAACTGCAGCTTTTCCAGGTTTACAAGAGGCAGAGAAGTCACAGAATCGCCTTCGATTGTACCAAATGAATAAAAATACGTGGGTGAATGCGTTTGTTTTTTCTCTTGGAGCGGTAACGTGCTGAATGTAACGTGATTTATTTACCGTACAACATGCACTGTATTTCACAGAAACCAGATTTTACAGCAGTTTCTTGTTTAATGTTATTTTACATTTAAATTTTTATGGTTATACTTTTTATCACTGTGTTTGACAACAAATGAAAATATATTTGCACACTTTAAGTAAAAAGTGTTTGGTCTTATTTGCTTGTAGGTTGCTGGTTCTAATTCCAAATCAGCAAAGTAAAGATTTAAAACAACAAATTTTATTTTGGTTTAAAAACAAATTGTAGCAGATTTGAGAATTTCCCATGAAGTCATCCAGTAATGTCAGATATGCTGCTGGAAATGTTCAAATCAGATCAGTTTATGTGACTAAGACCAGCTCAAAATGGAGGGTGCTGCTTAACAAAAACATTCACATACTTTATAAAATGTAGATTGCGTTGAATCCACTTTGTTGCAACCTCCCATCCTGAGCAGCACATTGGTGACAGTAGAAAGGAAAAACTTCATTTGAACATGAAGAGAGCAGAACTAGAACCAGAACTAGGAAAGACAGGCACATGCAGAATGGACAAGGAACTGTCTGAACAATAATTAACTGATTCTGTTTTCATGAAATTATGTTCACAACATTTGTTACAGATGAAAACAACTTAAATACAATTACAATTTATTTAGGACTTATAAAAAGTCACTGCTTGTTTTAAAGTCTCCTCATTAAAGTTGTTTGGAGTTCAGAAAAAAATAAATATATTCCAAACTCTCTAATCTTCGCATATAAGTCTGATGTTTCAATCCGTTTTTGTTTCAGCTGATGTTTCAGTCTGTTTCTGTCAGTGTTTCAGCTGATTTAGTCTTTCTGGCTGTATTTCAGCTGATGTTTCAGTCTGTTTCAGCTAATATTTCAGTCTGCTTCTGTCAGTGTTTCAGCTGATTTAGTCTTTCTGACTGTATTTCAGCTAATGTTTCAGTCTGTTTCAGCTAATGTTTCAGTCTGCTTCTGTCAGTGTTTCAGCTGATTTAGTCTTTCTGACTGTATTTCAGCTAATGTTTCAGTCTGTTTCAGCTAATATTTCAGTCTGCTTCTGTCAGTGTTTCAGCTGATTTAGTCTTTCTGGCTGTATTTCAGCTAATGTTTCAGTCTGTTTCAGCTAATGTTTCAGTCTGTTTCTGTCAGTGTTTCAGCTGATTTAGTCTTTCTGGCTGTATTTCAGCTAATGTTTCAGTCTGTTTCAGCTAATATTTCAGTCTGCTTCTGTCAGTGTTTCAGCTGATTTAGTCTTTCTGACTGTATTTCAGCTAATGTTTCAGTCTGCTTCTGTCAGTGTTTCAGCTGATTTAGTCTTTCTGGCTGTATTTCAGCTAATGTTTCAGTCTGCTTCTGTCAGTGTTTCAACTGATTTAGTCTTTCTGGCTGTATTTCAGCTAATGTTTCAGTCTGTTTTGGCCATTTGAGTTTATATTTCTGGCATTTCTCAGCTTCTGTTTCAGCTAATGTTTGGTCTGCTTTTGTGTTTCAATCTGTTTTGGACATTTAAGTTGATGTTTCAGTCTGTTTCTAAGCTTCTGTTTCAGTTGATGTGTTAACCTGTTTCAGCTGATGTCTGTTTCAGTTGATGTGTTAACCTGTTTCAGCTGATGTCTGTTTCAGCTGATGTCTGTTTCAGCTGATGTGTCAGTCTGTTTCAGCTGATGTTTTAGTCTGTTTCAGCTGATGTTTTCAAGTTCAAGTATCTTTATTATCCCTGAGGGGCAATTAGTTTCACAGTCAGTAGATGTGTACATATACACACACATGCACATACACACACACACATATACACATATATACATATATACATACGCATCCATATATATACACAAGACATTAAAGTAACAGTATTGAAATTAGTGTTCATTGAGAAACCTGATTGCTACGGGGATGAATAAGTTTTTCAATCTGTTTGTTCTACATCTGGGCTGCAGAAACCTGCGTCCAGATGGAAGCAACCTGAACTCACCATGGAGTGGATGATCAGGATCTGCCAAAGTCTGCCTGGCCTTGTTCGCTGACCTCACCTTGTGTAGGTCAGCGAGGTTCCGTAGGTCTATGCCAGCAGTTTTGCTGCACATCCTGACAATCCCCAAGAGTTTGCTCCTGTTTTTACATGTCAAAAGTCCAAACCAACAGATAAAGGTAAAAGTTAAAATAGACTCAATAAAACACGAATAAAACATTCTCATAAAAGTTGAATAAACGTTAAAACCACAAGTTTAGTCTGTTTCAGCTGATGTTTTAGTCTGTTTCAGCTGATGTTTCAGTCTGTTTCAGCTGATGTTTTAGCCTGTTTCAGCTGATGTTTTAGCCTGTTTCAGCTGATGTTTTAGTCTGTTTCAGCTGAAATTTCAGTCTGTTTCAACTGATGTTTCAGTCTGTTTCTGCTGATGTTTTAGTCTGTTTCAGCTGATGTTTTAGTCTGTTTCAGCT